TTGGTCCGTGAACTCAACAGACAGCTCATTGGTCCGTGAACTCAACAGACAGCTCATTGGTCCGTGAACTCAACAGACAGCTCATTGGTCCGTGAACTCAACAAACAGCTCATTGGTCCGTGAACTCAACAAAGAAAACCAAATGGCTTCACAGCTCCACTCTGACTGTAAAAGCAATACGGAGCAATACAGAGCAATACGGAGCAATACGGAGCAATACAGAACAATATGGAACAACATAGATTGCAGCAAGTAAAAATAGATCAGAAGGAAAGTGGCGTACTCACACCAACACAAGGGAAACAAAAAATCTCATCATGGACTTCTGACACGTGAACATTCAGAGAATTCTCATCACAAGGCTCACTTCGTGGACATTGGACGTACAATGTTACGTTGACAACTTCCCACATGGACCTCAAGGACTACAAGTGATCAACAAGACGCACAGTCTCGCCAACTCCTTCTACCTCCCACATGACCAACTATCTCTCATAGTACATTATGGAGATGATGGTGAGGAGGATAATTATAGAATGATGATAATGATAATCATAATCATAATGACAATAAATATAATAGTAATAATGACAATAGTAATAATACAACAATAACAATAATTGCATGTGTATAGTGCATATACACGCTCTAGGGCTTGCTCTACGCACGGGACAAAGTCTCTCGACTCCCGCCCAGGTCAAGAAATGGACAAACAGTCGCACAACAGACCACAGTACCTGCAGTCTCCAGCCAGGAAGCAGTAACACACACGCACACACGCACGCACAAACGCATGCACACACAAACACGCACGCATTCTTCTTTGGCAGTTGACCTGTGTCCCATCAAAGAACTACGCGTTGAGGAAAAAGGAAAAAGATCTGAAGTCTGAATATCATCAATGAGCTCATTCAAACAACCAAACTTGTGTATATATGAATAGAGAAACCAAACTTGTATATATATATATATATGACCACAGGCGTCTCACACACACACTGACACACACACACTGACACACACACTGACACACACACTGACACACAGGCACCTCACACGCAATAAATAGCAGCACACAAAACATCCGCCACACCAAGAAATAACAACCAACATATAACAACACATACACACACACACAACATAACAACACATCCACGCACACACTCCCTCACAACCAATAGTCCCCCACACACACACACACACACACACACACACACACACACAGGTTGTCATCAAAACGTTGGCTCTGTGGACACGC